GAGTATCGCCCTCGCGGCGACCTTGGCGGCGGCGGAGCCGGACGCTCACGGTCGCGTTTCTCTCGCCCGCAGGAGGACCCGGCGCTGCTCCGCTGGGTATACGCCAGGACGCAAAACGTGTATCCCACCTTCCGCCCCACGCCCAAGACGGCCTTCCTGGGCGCCGTGTACGCCCTGGGGCCCCTCCTCTTCTGGATGTTCACCTTCAAGTACGACAGGGTGAGTGCGCGATGGGCAGCGGGCCCACCATGGCCCTGAGGAGCCTCGTCCCTGGAGGGCACGAGGGAGGCAGGCTGGTGGCTGGTGGTGCCCTCGCTGCCCTGCGACTGGGTGCTGAGCACCGCTGTGCCCGGGGCCTGCCTCGAATCCACGCATGCAACCCGTCGTCATCCGCCCTTGGAGCCCTCACGCATGCACCAGCCAGCAGGGTGTTGGGCTGCACTGAGCTTCTCCCTAGTGCTGTTCTCCCCGCTGCAGGCAGGTACTTCCAGCTGTTGACACGCAGTAGCCGTGTCCTCTAGGAAATACGGAGCTTACAGGTGACGGGCTGGCAAGGAAGGTCTTTGTGGCCATTCCCCAGTCTTAGGGGCGCAGGGAGGAGTTTTAACCCCGATGCTGATCTCACTTGGATTTTTATGCCTTCGGAAGATTTGGGTCACTTTTCTCCCAACTCCTGGAATGTGGGTGTTGCAGTCGAAATGCTGGGAGAGCATTCTTATAATGCTTAGATATGTTTCGGGAGAAAGTAATATCTGACTGGCAGGCAGCAGCTAATAGCTGTTTTTTGCTACTCAATTTGTGGCTGTTGTCAAACAGTTTTATTTCCCTCTCTTGCAAAAAAGAAAAAAAAAGAAAAGTAACTTTGTTCTTTAGGTCAAATCATAGTACAGGAAGTACAAGCTTCAGTTAAAATTAACAAAATATTTCAAGGAATGCTGTTTTCTAGGATAAACCGAAAATACAGGTTTTAAGAAACCTACAGAACATGTTGATATAAGTATCTTTAAAAGTTAGCATCTGTACAGTGTTCTGTTGTGCTGTTTGACACTTGAATGGCTTAGCATATAAATGCTTGAAAATAAAATTTGATGATTGAAAGTGAAATTTAGGCATACTTGCCTGGGAAGATGTAAGCTGAAGTATTTGATACAGACTCCAGGATGCTTCCTTTTCCTTACTCCAGTTCTCTTATTGATTTTCCAGGGAATTTATTTGTTTTCCACTTTTATATAAAACAAGGTAGTGATTACATTCCTTTTTCTAAGAAAGGACTGTTGTGTGGCCTGGGGAAGTAGAAAATAAATATAAATTGCTTAGATTTAAGATCTTAAGTAGATTTTTTTTCTGTTTTTGTAGACATTGTCAAGATCCTTTCTGCTGGATGAGTTTTAAATACCGTCACTCTACCTTTCAGAATGGCACATGATTGCAGAGTGAGATACAAGTGGGGTGAATGCAAGCAAAGGAATATTTAGGCAAACTATGAAAGATTTAATTGTGAAAGATTTCATCTTTCACCCGGAAAGAGGAGGTAGAAACTTCTATGTAAATCAAGTAGTTATAGCTAATTTGGTGAAAAACATGTAATGGGAGTTGAACCTCTTTGGCCTGTGAGAATAGATGGATGTGCGGAACAATCTGAGCACCATTTTTCTAGCTGATAGGTGAAGCTATATATCTCATTTTTGTTTGTTTTGTTTTAGTTTGTTTGTTAACAGTGGCTGTCAGGATCTGTGCTTTTGTGGTTCCATCTTCCCCTATTCAATGCTGACAAACTAGAATTGCTTTTCTCTTATTCTAGGATGATTGAAATGTCTTCTTTAATAATGATAAACATTTTTGTTTTCTCCACAGGATCGCAGAGAGAAGCTTTACCAGGAAGGTAAAGGCAAGCATCCACTCAGTCTTTTCTGAGTTCCTGGAATCAGTGCTGTAATCCAGTGCTGCTGTTGGGACACAAATAAAATTAATAAGGTGTATGTACACTGACATTTCTCCTTCCTAAGAATAAAACTTAATTACTCCTTTGTTGTCTTGTATCTTTAACAGTTACAGGAAGTGAAACAGTACAGAATATTGATACATAATGAAGATACGTAGAGGGTGTTCAGAACAGTTTATTGCTTTGAGCCTATGTAGAGAGACTCCTTTTACACTGTGGAAGTTGCTGCTGACAACCGCTCAGGCCGCTGTTTGCAGTTAGTCACTGGCTAAAATGTTCAGCATGAGGCTGATTCCAAAAGAACAGCGTTGCTTGAGCTACTTCTTACTGATGTCAGTTTGACTGTAGCTTGCCCATATCAAATAATAGGGAACCTCTGTGGTCAGTTTTGAGCAACTCTTTAGGTACCTGAGTTCTTCTAATGTGGTAATTTTTTCTTTTCCCTAATAAACATAAGATTTGGGCTTGTATTTTATTGCAGTAACCTTCAGGATAAAATTACGCCATCAAATTTGGTACCACATTGTCATTTTATATCTGATTAGTAGCATTTCCACTATTCTTCTGATCCCTGCGAGCATAGAACAAAAAGCGGAAAGATGAGGCTTTTTGTTTAGACATGGATTCCATAATGGAATCCCTTTTTTTCCTACAGAAATGGGGCATGGTTAAATAAATGCACATCTGATCTTGTGTCTGCAAATGTGTTTTCTCTGCTAATTTTCTGTAAGAACACAAGTCATTTCTACACCAGGTGTAGGATGATTCTGGAAGCATTATTGACCAAAAGAAAAGGTGAGACTTGAGTTTCACAGAATCACAGAATGGCTGAGGTTGGAAGGGACCTCTAGAGCATGTGGCACAGGGTCCCATCCAGACGGATTTGAAGATCTCCAAAGGAGACTCCTGAGTTCGAAGGAAAGATTTTAATTCAGAGTTGAATTTTCATTCAGCCTCTAGGTGCCATCGTGATCCCAGTAGCAAAACAGACATTGTAAAGAGGAGGATTCTTTCCAAAGATGTCAGAGTCAAGCTGCAGTTCTTTATGCAATGAACACTTTACTCTATGTGCTGTTTCTAGTAGTGAAGTCAGCAAAAACAGCTCTGGTAAGTTCCTTTCTTGGGGTGTAAGGACACTTGCCGTCCTCCCTGATGAAAGTGAATTAATAAAACTTGCAGTTTCCCTTTTCCTGGCTGAGTCATGAAATGCTTAGGCTGTGGAGGGCTCGGCACTAGTTCTGTGTACAGCAGCTTCTCAAGGCTGTGACCTGTCTTTGCATTTCCATACGTGTTCTCAGCAGCCTGTTTGGGCCTGACTGCAATTTGTTCTTCTGCTATCTGACCTAAAACAAACTCAGGTTATTCTCTTTGCAGAACTGCTTCTAAAAGCCTGTCACAAATGATATTGCAAGATATGGCTGTGAGTCAGTGCAGGGAGAGAGGGGCAGCAATGCATGGAGAAAGTGGTATTTAGGGAAATAAGTAATTGCTTATCTGAGCATGCTAAATTAACTATCTTCTTGCTGCCACAAACTAATTTGATCTCCTAGGACCCATTTCCTTAGCTAGTTGGAATTGGAGTTACCACCCACCTAAGTTCTCCCTCTCAGCTCTGTGGGTTTCAGGGCAGTTGAAGGTTCAGGCCAGGTTGTGGATGCACGGAGCGCCTCTGGCCTCGCAGGGCAGCCTTGGGAGGGATCGCTGCGCCTACCGCGGCCCTGCTCTTGCACGTCAGAGTGGCTCGTGCCACTGCAGTCCCCGCAGGCCTGAGCGTGGTGCCCAGAGAAAGGCTGCCCTGCTTTTCCCATTACTTGCACAACTCTCCGAGCTGTTTTTCGGAAGAAGCCTATCGCATTCCAGTAGGTGGGGGTGGTGGCTTGAGGCAGCAGGATGGCATCCTTAGAGGAATCAAGGAGTTTTTTCCTTTCCGAAGTGAGGGGTGAAGACAAAAGAGTGATTGTGCCCTGTGGAAATTTACCCTTGACTGATATGTTACAACCCGTGTCTACTTCAGCGACGAGTCTATGGCAATGGAAACTCAAGCATGCAGATCACTAGATAATAGTTTACATCCCAAACTGAAAGCAGACTTTCCCCTGGGCCTGTAAAGCATTTATCCCTGGATCACTCTGATGAAATCAACTTCTCTGGCAAATTGTTTCTCCTGAATATGGTCTTCCAAGCTGGTTATTTTAAAGCAAACATCTCCCTGTGGATTTCATAATGTAATGCTTAGCTCAAACTGGTGCTTTTTTCCCCCTCAAGAATCTGATGCAGGTCCATTGATGGACAAGTCTAATGTGTCTGATTTTCTCCCTTTTTGGTAGATAGGAGTAAGATTTTCAGGAGTGAGAAGTGCAGATCCTGATGACACCAAACTTACCCAGTTCAGACTGTTACCCAAACTTCTCTTTAATCTCAACGAACTCAGAAAAAGAAATCAGATTTACACTGGAGATAAAGAGTGTGTTGTAAGCCCATACACAAATGAGACAGACAGATGCCTTGACAGCAACATTTACTACCTTGCTGCCTTACTAAACTTGAGCCCTCCAAATCCCGCTTTTAACATGACAACAACGTGGGTATGTAGCTCATACACAGGCCTGAGGGTTGGCATTTCCTACCAGGGGCTTCATTTTCTGTGTTCACCCTGTGGAACAAGAGAGTGGTTTCAAATTGTCATATAGGAAGAGAAGGCAACTTGAATATTCCAGAGTTTTTTGAGGTATTCCATTAAGTTGTCTGCACTCAACTTTTCTTCCAGGTACGTTTGCAGGAACAAATACTTGGGCTGCCCAGTCAAGCCCTTTCACATTAAATAAAGTGCAAATTAATACGTAACTGGGGAGAAAAATTGCCAAGCTGATTGCCAGCTGATAAACAGGCTGGTGTAGAAAGATGCCTACAAGAAAGATGACATTGAAAAGAAAATATTCCTTCAATTAGAAGTGAAACACTTAGGACTCTCCAATCTCTTCCAATTTGCAGGATACTCTTGCAACAGTAAGGGCTTTTCTTGGCAACCACCCACAGAAAAGCAGTGTGAAATGTCCTGCTCTGATGGAAGGCACAGTCTGCAGCTCTTATTTTGAAAGTTCTTCCTTTACAAACAGCACAACGCTTCCTTGAGCCCTAGCTACCCACCCTGTGGACGACCCCTCACATCGTATTTCCAGGAGGTCCCTGTGAAATGGGGCTGCCACAGTCACACAAGGTAGGGTATTCACCACAGCTTGGCATGGTGAGAGACATACAAGTATTTCAGCTTCGATGTGGCACAAGGAAAGCTTTAATTAAATACATGAAAACTAAGAAAAGCGATGTTTTTACCACACTTCAAGTTACATAGGCATGATCTTTTTAACGACTCAGTGGCTGCTGGAATTACTATTCTGTACTGGAGCACTCTGTATTGCCCAAGTCGATTACCGCAGTGCCTGTAAGTGTATTGGACTTCCCTGTCTTCATTCATGTCTTGCAAGCAACAATTTCTTTACTTGCGATTAGGATTGAAATGGCTTTTCAGAGGTTCCCAGCACTTGTAGTAGTTTTTATCTAGGCGGTTGGAGGTCTTGAGGCCCCATTTGGTAACGGCCATGCTGAAGGAAGATTCGAACATGAAGGCCTGTTGGGAAAAGGAAAATTTATTAGGGCAGGAGATATTGAGAGTTTGAATTTAGGCAAGGTGGCTCTTCCTCTAACTGGCTCAACCCCGGGGGAGAAAGCAACTCCCAGCAAAGACTGTGAAAGCTCTTGAGAGCTGGCACTGCAATACTGTTATCAATTAGGTCTCTGATATGACTTTGGATTCCCTCCACGTCTAGTAAAGCCATATTGTTCCAAGAGCTCTGGCACCTGGCCGGCTCACAATCATCATTATGACATTTTAGGGGCTAGGGAGAAGAGGACAGTCAGGGGTTTCACTTCTTTGTTTATAGGCTAAGGCAAAAAATAACTTTATTAGCATGAAAATTCCTGGCTCCCTGCTCAGGCATCAATTTATGGAGGCAGATTATCAAAGCTGCCTGGTGTCTCATAAAGGATGCTCCTGGGTACTGAACAGTGCTGATCAGTAAGGGATGTGAGTACTGCAACAGTTTGATCCAAGTACTTGTCCAACTTGCCAGCAAGAAGCTAGACCATTCTTTGAGAGTCCTGCAGTGGCAGAATACTGTGCTGCACACAAAACCCTACTGTTTTCCTTGAATTCTTACCATAGTCCCTTCTGCAACCCGCTCAGGCTCCAGCTTTGCCTTGCTTGCCTTCTCGAAGCAGTCAGCGTCTGGCCCGTGAGGAGTCATCACGCTGTGCAAGCTGGCCCCTCCAGGCTGAAAGCCTTCTTCCTTTGCTTCATAGTGGCCTCTGATGAGCCCCATGAATTCACTCATGCAGTTCCCTGTGGGGGCAGGCAAAGAGAAGCCGCAATGCGGCACAGTTTGGAGCACTGCAGCTGGACCATGTGTAACTCACAGCGTATGAAGTGGGCAATATATAGAGCAGAGGCTCCTAAGCAGTGTAACACAAGAGAGGATATCAGTGACCCTATAAGCAATTCTGGTAAAGCTGGGCTCCATACAGGTTTTCATACACTCTTAATTACCTGGATTCAGAAACCAAGAGCTCCCTAGTGAAGAGATGCACTGCTATTGATAGACCTGTGCTTTTCCTATTACTTGGAGCTATGTAAGTATTAAAACATTTAGACTGCCTAAAGCCTGACTGGATATTTACAGGCTTTCGTCTGAATTCTGAGGGCCTTGGAAAGGCAGGTATAATTATCTCTGATGGTGTAATTAGCTCTGTGTTACTGTCACTGGGGCACAATACGGAGACGTGAAAGGCTGCAGCATAGCCAGTAGGCTACCGGGACAGCTTGGTCTGCTGCTCGGAGTCCTAGGTGCAAAATTGTTTTGCTCCATATTTTTCTACTACCTCCAGTTCAGCTAGGCACTTTAGTATCTTATGATTTAGATTCGCTCATTATCTATCTAGTTCTCAAGAGCTGCTGTATGTCCAATGACAGGGAGCCAAATTATGTCCTTCCCTGAGGAAAAATACTAAAAGTAGACCCACTGAAACCAATGGAGTCATATACCACTAAGTTGGCTAAGGATGGTTAAATCTAATCATCCAGTTCTTATTAAATTATGCTCCTTATAGAGGAAACGCTTTAACAATCTTTCAGTCTTGGTAGACCTGATGTGATTAAACAATATGGCAACTTTTTGCTTAGTGGTCATTTTTTTTTTTTTTTTCAACATGGAGACATGCTTCTGCAGCTATGTTAAATATAGCCATTTTTAACCATTAGTTCAATTTTCGTTAGGTATAGTACAGGGTCTGAAATATTTAACAACAAAACTAATTTAGCTCAAAGCACAGTTTCTCTCTCTATATATGCAAACAATCATTAATTTTCATCCTAAACTGTCAGCATCTCATGCAAGACTGGGTTGTTATAGATTTTTTCATTGAATTCGCTCATGTACTGTGCTTGGAGCACTCAGAACAAGGAGCAGACTGTAAGAGCTTCATTATCAGGGTGCCTACCATGGTAAAGATGTGTCGTATGACTCATAATATTGCTTAGGAAGAAGAGGCTGGTCAGTAAGAAAACAGCTTGGGAGATTTTTGGAACTTCACTATACATATTCACCCTTGTGAGCAAGGCTAAGACAGCTTGAGGAACCATGACTGAGTGTGCTGAAATGCACATGGTGACAGTGGGAGAAGGACTCAGGAGACCCAGTTCAGTCCTTTGTTGTAACTGGCTTCACCCTGTGAGTGCCCTTGGGCATCTCTCTAGCTCTCTGTCCTTCTCTCCACCTGTGATGTAGTGTTTTTCTTTCTTCTGTTCTTTCTCTACAATATTCTAGTGAGATACGAAGAAATTTATGGCTGGATGACAGGACAATTTCTAACCTGTTTGTACAATGCAGTGTTCAATATGCATTTGATCTCTGTGGGAGCCCCTTGAGTAGAGACACATCCATCTATCCAGCCCCAAACAGCCCATCGCCTCTCAGTTTTCCTAAGACACTGTAAATAGGAACGACTTTAGTTTTCTTCCTTTTCCAAGGAGGACTCTCTGACTCCAAGAAACTGAGTTTAACTATGTCAAGTGCAACAAGCAACTTCTTCCCTGTTCAATCTCATAAAAAAAAATAAGGCTTCTTTTTCTGCACGCCTTATTGCAAAAGCAATAAACAGCAAACTTACTGTGGTAGTAGGGAGGCCGGAAGGTGTTGTTAGCTACCCCCCATCGAGGGGGGAATATGACAAAATCAGCAAGGGCCACTCCAGGATGGGTAGACTTGGCTGTTAGGACAGTGAAAATAGAAGGATCCTGAAAAACAAACAAACAAACATAAAAAGACCAAAGTAAATAGCATGAAACAGAAAAAGGCTTAGGTTATCCTGCTGATAAACCTGAATACTGCAGCCTCTCCTTTGCCAAGACACTTTTATGCCCTGCATCTGATGGTGTGGGTGAGATCTGTGACCATGTGCAAGACCACTCCCTTTCTCAATATGATGATGAACATGGGGGCAAGAGATGAGACTGGTTGGGCATTCCTTTGGCTGCCCTCAGGGAGTCTTCCCTGTACTTGGCCTTGACTCCCGCACAGTCCAGGGCACATACCCAGTTGAGGGGCTAGCCTGCGTCCTGAATTGCTTCCTCCTCCTTGCCCAAAGAGGATGCTGGCATCAACCGTGCAGCTCCTCTTCTCTCCTCCTACACTGGAGAGGCCAGCTGGAAGAGAGTGAGACTGACAGGCAGGAGAAGAGGAGGTGTAAATGGTGGAAAGATCTCTCCATGCCAGCTCTGCCAGGACAAGAGGCAACAGACACCAACTAGAGCAAAAAAAAATCTGTTTAAAGACAAGAAAAAAATCGTTTTACTGTGAGGTGGTCAAACACTGGAATGGGTTGCCCATAGACATTGTTGAGTCTCTTTCCTCAAAGATACTCATAAGCCATCTGGACACTGCCGTGAGCAACCAGCTCTAGTCGATCCTCCTCTGAGTTGTTGGACCGAACTCCAGAGATCTAGTCCTGCATACTTTGACATTTCTGCTGTAATTTTATGCACAGATGCAGCCTGGAGAGCAGCACTGGCCAGGAACCTGGCGTGCCTGTGTCCTGGAGCTCTGCTGGGAAGGCTGCTCAGTCCAGGCATCTGTGAGGAGGTTGTGACTGTTGGATCTTCAGATGGGCTAGGACCTGTTTCAGATCTGGATACTGCTGGTGGAGGGGGCTACTGAGGAAGTGTAAGGGTATGGAGAAGCAAACCACGTGCAGCAATAATAATCCTTGCACTTTCTCTACTGTTTTCATGCTAAGGGTCTCAAGTTAGTTTGCTTTCCCTCCCTTTTCTTCTTCTGAATGAATCAAAATTACTTCCCCCTTGAGCAGAGAAGGAAGCTGAGAGACAGAGCAAATGTGACATGTCTGGGACTCCAGCGCAGGGTATTGCAGTGTCTCCAGCACTTGTCTGAGGTGACACCTCTTCCTTAGCTTATTACAGAGAGCACAAATATCCAATATTAGGAATTAGTCCCTGTTAGTTTACAAAAAGTGTGAAGAAAGTACAGAGAAATTGTGAGTTGCTTCAAGGATTTTTGAGGTCTATTGTCCAGTAAACTGTTTTTTTGGGCCTTGATCCCAAAACTGTCCATCTCCTGGCAGGCTTTTCCGGAATTTGAACAATACTTTCTGTTGATTTTCTCACTAGAAATGCTACAGTCTCCTTGCACATCCCCTTGCAGAAGCAATGCCAAGAGATCGCATAGCTGTGGGTACATCTCCTACTGGGCTGTTTTCCTCATTAGGAGAGTTGCTCACGTCATTGATTTTGGATTCTGTTATTTTCCATGAGATCTAGAAATTACTGCACTGAAAGCCACCAGCTCTTCAAACACTGTTCCAGTCCTGGTCTCACAGGAACCAGGGGAAGAAATTTGTACAGTTGTAAGAGATAAATCAAGACAAGAATTCGAAGCAAGAAGTCTCAGAGAAACTGAGACCTCAGAGACATCTGAGTTGCTTGGTATATGTTGACTTCAGTGTTCACCTCTTGGTGGCTTCAGCATTCAGCCTCCTTGAGGGCACAGGAATTCTGTGTCGAGATGCATAAAGCTGTTGAGTAAACTGGTTCACCTCCAGTTACTTCAATTTAGGAGGTTATATTAACCCTCAAGAAGTCAGTGTGGGCCCAGAGAAATTGCTCAAGGGATTTCATACAGTTTCTTACAGAACAATAGATTTTTTTAACAGGTGATGATCTGTGGGAGCTCGGGGTAAATGTTGATTCTCTGGCATCCATAAAGCACTGCTGTGCTTTGTATAGCTCCAGAACTTACCGCATGGTCAAAAGCAACAGCATTAATGACCATAAAGTTATCCAGGTTGTATTTGTACGGTGTGTAGTTCCCATGCCAGGCTACAACATTGAAGGGGGAAAAATCCTATCAAAGCAATAACAACAGAGACAGAAGATTACCATACATGCCTCTCCAACATGTAGCATGCATATAGGGCACTCACCTTTTCAAATTAAAAATAGGCTTAGTGCTGATAAGAAGCACACTGAACACCTCGAGCATGGAGCTGGTTATGGGCTGTAGCCCAGCACTGTGAGGACACAGTTTACCTCACCATGATTTTCCACTTGCTGAGCTTCTGTCTTCTGTCCCCACTAGAGATGGGGAGCAGATTCAGGCTCCAAGGGCTTCTGACTGTACATACTGTGCATGAGCAAGACTGACTACAAGGCAGTCTCTCTAGCAATGAAACCTTGGGTTTTCCCAGTAGCCCCAGATACTCTTCTCTACTCTGCCACTAGAAAGATGTGGAAAGTGGGTGGCAAAGACTTTCACCAAGTCGTTGGGTCAAGCAAACTTTTACAAGTATATTTTCCATGCTGAGGAGCCATAGCAGGAAAGATAAATAAGCCCACGAGGCAAGGGCTCAGTGCTGCGATTACTAGCTTCACTAGAAGCAGGCCAGGAGAAGACTGAGACTGCCCACACGAGCAGAGCTGTGTATCCCACATCACGATCTGCCAGTCACCGTGCTTTGGTGTTACCTGTCCTTCCTCACGTCTTTACCTGCTGGGCTGCAAACAGCTTGCCCTGGTACTTGCTGATCACCATGTAGCCCCCTGGCACTTGTCGATCCTCATACCATGCAACAGGCACCAAAAAGTCCCTAGGGTTAGCCAGACCATTGGCTCCTAGGAGAGAGGAAAAAAAACTGAGGTCTTTGGGCAACCTGCTAATGAAGCAAGAGGCTGTTGCAATTTCCTGGCTTTGTGGGTGTCCTTTGGTGTTTTGAATGACCTTCTCATTGCTTCTCAGGCCACCACAAAACCTAAAATATTAATGTGCTTTTGCTTCTCTGAGTAGATAATTCTAATACATCCTAGCATTTAAGACCATGTTCCCCTCATGTGACTAAGACTGATGTCCCCTACTTTCTTTCTGAATGGGATTAATACTTCATCCTCAGTTAAAGGTGTGTAACAATTGTGAATAAGGAAAAAAAAATAAAGTGAAGGATGAATTGTTCTCTATTCCTAGGCAACCTGTTGGTTGGACATTTAGCCATGTGGAAGTAGAGAGACATCATGAGAGGCCTTAATACATTTCTGTACACTTGGAAGAAGGTAATACACTAAGGGCTGGGGATACGTATAGAGTCCAGTCAAATTGTGGGACTGGCTAGTGCAAGGAGTGCCTTCCAAAGCACAAAGCACCATATGGGTGCTAAAGCAATCATCTCTTCTCATTAGTATTATTGTTACAAAGGGCTTTGAATTTCTCAGAGAAAATGCAAGACATTACTACCTGCTGTTAAGGTTTAACAGTCTGTGGTATCCTCCAGCTGTCGTTTCTCAAGTAGAAAGTGAAGTTAGAATAGAGTAAAGATGGAAATACAAAGGATCTTGGTCTCTGAGGGGAAGAGGGGTAGGTGGTGAGAAGAGGAGCTCTCGTAATTACCAGCTCCTGAAAAGGTTTACAGGCATGTGTGCTCATTTTATTTTCTCCAGAAAATAAATGTTATAATAGATTGCTGCTTTGTGAAGACTGGAGAAAAAAAGAAAAAAGAAAAAGAGAAAAAAAAAAAAACCTTCCAAGGGTGCCTGAAAGACTAGGTAATGGGAAAACTTCTTACAAATAGGCAGGTGTAATAATACCACTGATCAAATGGAGCGGGCACAGAATGTAACAACTGGGTGAAAAGAGGGTATTTCAGAACACTAAAGGGAAAGCTGCTGAAAAATCACCATTGACTCAGCGTGGAAGGGGAAAGCATGGTTCTCTCAGGAGAGATACTTGAGCAGGGCCCAATTACATTACTTCAGGTTGGGTCCATTTCTGCCTGGAAGGATGGCCAGCTTTGGATTCACTACTGCTGCGAGACCTTTGCAAAATCCTCTGAATGTAGATGGGCCATGCCGAATACCTTATTGATTTCTAATATTTATTCAGTTTCCTTCTAGCATGGCCAGTCTTTTAGATCTCACCGCGGTCTACAAAACAAGCCTAGTCTATGGGAAAAAGAAATAGAAATGAAAACAAAAACTCCTCAAATCTCCTCAAAACACTGGTCTGAAAGTGAAGAAAAAAATAGTTGGCATAGCAGTTATTTTATCTGTTATAGGAGAAGTCAAACCACTCTGGGACTGTCTTAGTAGCAGTAACCAGGACAGTGTAGTAGGAGGTGTTTGCTCAGCAAGAGATGTACAGAAACAAGTCTCATGGAAGTTGAACCGTGGAGGCACGGAAGCCACGGCCGCGAGGGTGGCCGGGCCACAGGTGAGGTCCAGGTGCCCTTCCCTCTTGCAATTTATCTGCTGGGGCAGCAAGAGCCGGGCTCTTCCCGTTCGTGACAGTGTGCAGAGGACAGCGCTGCCAGCAGAAGGGAGCTGTGATTTCTGACCGAGTTAGGCCTGTGCTCTCTGCAAGCAGATTCATTCTGCCAGCACCGAATGGGGAGCTGTGAACGTGTTGCTGATCTGAGACCTGTGCTGCTCATTTCATTGATCTCTAATTTTCCAGGGGGAACAGCAGATAACACTTCCTCTCTTCCTACCTTTTTTTTTTTTTTTTTTCATAGTGGAGATGGTAAAGGCAAATTTCATGCGCTGCTGTGATTCCTGATTGAGTGCTTACATGCTTTGGTTAGGCATGGCCCCTCTGTGGAGAGGCTGTGCATTAGAAAGCAGAGTTCTGCCACTGGAGCAATGAGACGGATGTTAACAAAACTGAGGAAAAAACACATGATAAATTCTAAAATTGAGGGTTGAGAATGTTTCTCCTGAACTCTGCCTTTCTTTCACATAAATGTTCTCCAATTGCTTCAGATTATTTGCTTTCCATAAGCAAGAAGCATCAGTGATGAGTTTTTTGGAGTTTCTTTTGGTATGAACAGGTTCAGAGCCAACAGACTGGGGCTCCCATCCTGGAAGGGAGAAAGTGGAAAAGGTGGTTGGAAAGAAATGGTCCTTTTGCTCCCAGGGGAACAGAGTGATGAGTGAGCCATCTTTTTTTTTTCTTTTTTCCATTTTTTTTTTGGCTTGCAGTTCCTCACTCTATCCCTGTGAAATTCACGGTGAGTCTGATGGGAGATTATTACCAATGGGTCCCAGGTCAGGCAGCTCAAAGTGCGCGCCGTACACCTCCAGGACGTAGCCTCTGGTCTCACCAAACACCTCCACACTGAAACGCATTCCTTGCTGGAGGAAGGAGACAAAATAAAGCAGACACCAAGCTCTCCTCAACACTTTGTGGACAAACCTAGAAGAGCTGTATGCTGGAGCGAGGCACGCTGTGTCTCTGTGAGCTGGATGTGGTGACTGATCTAAGCAGGTTCCTCTTGGATCACCCCCAAGCTGCATTTACGCAGCCTCAGAGCTCACCAGAGGCTGCCCAAAGAGTGGCTTGGCCGCTGGCCCCACAGCTGGGCTCCAAAGCCACAGGCGAAGCTGTGCCCTCACCTGGATGACGCAGATCTCATTGGGCTCCACCAGCAGCTTCCCAAACTCCGTTGTGATGAGCAGCTTCCCCTGCTGAGGCACTGTGGAGATGAAACCTGGGTAAGGGCCATTGGAGCCACAAAGACACAGGCAAGGGGTTTCCGGCTGGGATTTACAGTGCTGGAAGTGACGGCTGCAACACCATCCTCCCTGTGCCTGGGCAGCGAGCAGGCCCTCGCTGGCAGGGCTGTGGGCCCTTTCTGCCCTACTTTGGTGCAGCTCAGCATTGGGAAAGGCTGTTCCCTGACCTCCCTTGCACACAGCCTTTCAGCAGAGGTACTTGTACTGTGCATAGGGCATTTAGAGCCTCTCCATGGTCCTCTGATCACAGCAGGAGCCCTTCTCTCCTTCATTCCACTGCAAAACATCCCCCATACCCAGACCTGCCACGTATTTCACACTGAGCTTGAGGACAGGTCTTCCCTCACCTCATGCTCCCCTTTTGGAGCGTTTGCATCACTCTCATCTGCAACATGGTCCTACTTGGGCCAGACCCCTCCAGCTGGTGGATCAACCTGCTCCATGCTGCTCATGGGTGGCCAGAGGAGAAGAAAGCTGCTTCCTGCACACAGGGGAGCACCTTGCTACAAGGCACAGTGCTAGTTTAGTACCATTAAGCCCAGATATATGAAACTTGATATACTTGTGGCCGTATCTGTCCAGCTCATGATCTTCACATAAAATAGTGCATGTACCTGTCCTTGTCATGTTGCAGTAGTGTGAGACACCTGGGAATAACTACTCTCTTTTCTGCCTGAGGGTAGAAAAAGTGCTTCACTTACTTAGGACCACTTTTTTTTCCATGACTGTCCTAGTGTGGGACAGCTCACATTTTGACTGGACAAATCAGCAGATTTGCAAAACCTGTCCTGGTGCTTTTACCTCATTGTAGTGAGAGAGGTAAACAAGTACAATTAAATAGTTATTTTATGGGAGAAATATTTTTTACCGGTAAGCCAAAGATCTGCGCATCAGTTGAGAAAGATTCAAAGAAATAATCAGGCTCTCAGTCTCCTAACAGTGGTCTGAAGGTCTTTCAGCATGTCTGCATTTAATGTGCCAACTTCAACGCTTTTCATGGCACTTATCACAGTTGCCTGAGGCTGGGGGAATGCAGGAGTTAAGCTGCCTTGCCAGATAGTCTTGGATTGCAATGAAGGCATCTAGCTGTGAGCTGTTCAGTAATCGTAAGACTTATGTTCTCCAGAAAACCTCCACAGTGTGTCCAGTACCAATTTGCAACACTAAGAAGAATCTCTGAACACCTTGCCAAGGAACCTGGGTCACTTTTCAAAAACAAGGTCAAGTCCTGGCATAGACATATGCCCTCTGAGCTGCATGAGGCAGGTGGAGTGAGTCCAACAGCTCAGCTGGTGCCAAGCCATGAAATCTGGATAGCACAAGAGTGAAGTCTATCCTCCCCCATAAATCCTTGTTCTGGAGGAACAAAGAGGCAGGCAGGTGGCAACCCACATACACCCTCACAGCAGGGATGAAAAGTCAGTGCATCTACTTACCAATCAGGAAGTCACCATCTGAATTATAAAAGCATCTAAAGAGAAAGAAGAACAGGGAGATCAGGGTCTCATAAACCCCAGGGACTTGCACACTCTACAGACTATTACAGAGAGTCCTTGGGGCTTAAAGACTGTCATGGCTGAGATGTCCCCTTCAGCTCAAGCAATGGTCAGTGTGGTGCAAAGGAAACAGGTCAATGGGCATTGCTTGAAGCAGGGTCTCTTCTGAGCTTTGCCAGCTCCTTGTCTTTGTGACCTTGGGGCAATCAGTCCTTGTGAACCAGGGCATAGGCTGATGCCCCTGCCGTCTGCTGCAAGGATCTAGTGATGCCCCTGAGATGCTGCATGCAAACTCGGTGCTCCTCATCTCCCCAGGACAGCTGTGGACTCTGGGAGAAGAGCACCTCGATCTAGCAGATCCTCTCTTGCTTCTCCCCCATGCTCCGCTCCTTTTTCCTCTCAGTGGCTCCCCACCCATGCATCTGATGCTTAGCATTGGAGCATGACCTGCTTTGCAAATCCCTGCAGGCCAAATGCTTCACCTCTGTGCACAAGAACCCAGGGACATAGAGCAAGCGCTGCCAGCAGAGCAGCCAGCAAGTGCTATCCATAGGCAGCCCATTTTCCTGGCCTATATGCTTGCAGGCATCCCAGAGAGCCTGAGCCTCCAGAATACCAGTCACTGACCTGTCAAGCATGGAGGTGTTGCAGACAAAGACATGGATGGCAATGCCATTGCGTCCTCGGGGCTCACCAGCGCCACATAGCGTGTGCAGGCCCTGGAGAGCAACCCACAACACATGGAGTGAGCGACACACACTTGGGCAGAGAGCAGCCCCCTCTTCTCTCCTCAACCCACTGCTTTGCTGGAGCTCGCCCCTCTCTCCCCGCTCCCTGGGCTGAGTATGGCCTGTGTCCAAGCATGTTGTTGGCTTCTCTTTAGCATCTTAATCCCTTAGATTTAGAAATCCCTGTCAGCTGGTGATTTTCAGCCCCTGATTTGGGAAGAGCTGGGGATAGGGACCATTCTGAAAGGTAAAGAAATAAGTCAAATCCACCATCAGCTTATCGAAATCTGCAACCCTACCCGCTTTCCCTCCTGCAAAGGCACTGCAAATCAAGAGGTATAAAAAACACTGCTGCTTGCTGAAATTTGAACATCTTCCAAAGTGCGCTTTGATTTTTTTTTAAGGTTCCTTGTGATGGTGCAAATGTGCAAAACCATGGGGAAATGGGAAGTCTTGGGACTTGAGAGAAGGAAAGGAGCCTACAGCCTTCTCCTGACGTTGGGTACTTGACCTGCAGGGGCCTGGAGCACCCTGCCCACTCCAGCATGTGGGGCTGAACGGTGCCCTTCGCATGGCTTGAGTCAGAGCCCTGAGCAATGCCACTAACTCTCATGATCCAGGGCACATTCCAACCTGAGTTTGTCCTCAGCAAACTTTGCAGTATTCCCATTCAAACCCAAGGGAGCAATGAAGAAGGAAGGAAGAAGGAAGACGGTGGGAAGCTTAGGCCTCCTGACTTACGCTCACAAAGTCCATCTTATTCTGGGAGGCTTTCGGGATCTCGAAAGGTTTCCAACGCAGCTAGATTCCAGTGAACCAAAAGGAAGAAACAGCACTGGTTATAGCGCGAAGGACCAAAAGGGAGAAGCAAGCTGACCATGTCCCCTCACCTTCCTGCCTCAGCTAACCCTCACTGCCTGCCCTCAGCGTTGTTGAGAACAGAGAATTTCGAATGAGCTGGCTTTCCACAGCCAAATTTCCATGGGCCTGTGCTTTATTGTGCACTGGATGATTCATTCTCTTCATGATCTGAGCATAACACTTCTTGCTCTGCCTTATTTTCCCCATATCCAAAGCTCATGTATCTAGATCTGTGTGATGAGGAGCTGCAAGCTGCACTAATTAATTCCTGCAAAGCCTGTAGAGATTCTCAGACAGAAGGTGCCAGAGCATGCCCAAGTATTTATTACTGTTAATATCATAATTAGTACCTCTTCACAGTTATTGGGAAAAAGGTGCTGCAGCTGAGCACCTACCATGGGAAAGGTCTCCGTGCAAACTAGCCCAAATGCCTACAGTCCCTGGGATGTGCCTGGGTCACGGCCAGATCTCATTGCCAGCAGCCACAGGAATTATCCCCTGCATGAATATGATTTACCACAGATTAAAGTGGCTGTAACTCAGAGCATCCACAGGAATACTTTACATTTAACTACGTGGCCTGGGAGATCTTGCACTGTTTTTAGGCTGTTTTCCTAAGAAAACAATGTTTATGGGACTCTGTGCATCTGCCCTACCCTATAATTCTGAACTCTATGGAGGAATTACAGGTAAAGTTGAGAGGGGTTTTCAGATGAGCTAAGTTCTCCTAAGTCTCGTTAAAAAAATCTGGATGTCTAAAAAATGGATATTTGCCCACCTGCATCTCCCTGCACACCAAGGGATGGCTGCAGGTCGAACCCATTGTGTCTCAGAGACCACTGTGCAGAAACAGCCAGGCTCAGGGAGTCTGGCTGCTCATGGAAATACTCTGTTCTGTGAGAACAGAGAAACTACTGGGTCCAAATGACTTCCTGAGAGGCAGCCTCAGGCCAAAACAGAAATATGGTCATGCTGAACACAGCAAACACATCCCTGAGCAAGGCCAAGCAGAGCAGGGTGGAATTTATCTGCTGTGCCCACCAGGGCCAGCTGTGATGCTTGTCCCCTCCTCCCGCTTGTGTTCGTTACTTTCATTGTTGTTGTTGTCTTTTTTTCTCTTTTCTTTTTTTTATGTGGGTCTTAGCAAGCAGTGCAAAAAACGGTGTGAGTGAAAGACTTGTGAATCGCCCTGGCATACACCAAGCCTTGGGGAGTCTTAAGGACCAAAGGAGGACGAGAAGTTTAAAGGATTGTGGCTGGAGGCCTCAATGAAGGAGAAAGGAGAGTGGTGGTTAAAGCTTAGAGCTGGGACACCAATTTTCAGGCTCACCTGGCCACCTCTGTGACCACACGGCACTCCAGACTCTGTTTCTCTCTTGGTAAAATGGGAATGAGCTCTTCCTCTTTCACTGTTTCATGATGGAAGTGGATCTCAAGGCTTATCTTCTTAAGGTCATGGAGTGCTTCAAAGGAAGGGACAAGAGAGAGCTAGGCAAGGGCATGGGTGTTATTTGCTTATTAGCTACATGATATGGGCCGAAGGATGAGCTAAGAGTTCAGACAAATCCAGCCACAGGCAGCGTATGATGTGACCAGGAAAAAGGCTGGCAGTGGTGAAGGAGATAGCAGTCCAGTCTCCTGTGAGCACCAAGCCATTTGCTGAGGGGCACCTTTGCCTTGTGAAGAGACCTGGGTGGCTCCATACCGGTGTTGCTCGAGGTCAAACGGCTCAGATGTTGGGCAGAGAGGAGAAGCCTGCTGGAAAAGTTCCTTTTACTGGAAGGACATGCCAAGTGCACCTGCCAGTAGGTCAGATATGACCCTTTTGAGGTTTTTTCACGTAGCAGATGAGTCAGTAACATAACGATGAACCTCAGATTTGGAATTTAACTTTTTCAAAGCACATCTTCCTTTGTTTTTGTGCCTGTCAAAACAACCGCCCAAATACAAACCCAGCATAAATGCAAACCATGGCCAGAATAAGTGTCTGCATCAGCTGCCAGCCTGAAGCAAAGACTTGGGGTGTGAACTTGCCTGTCTCCTGTTTATTGGCATGACAGCTTTGAAGGCCAGTGATGACATTTCAATATGAACTAGTAATGTGCTGATTACTTTAAGCCTTCAGGACTGGGAACTGTGAATCCCTGACAGAAAGGACACACAGAGTGAATGGGAGAGAAGACCCAGGAGACAGTAAAAGAAAAGAGAGAAATGGAACAGAAATAGATGTCAGGCAAAAAGATGGCCTAAAGGCATAAAGGGGAGCAAATTTTTCTCAATGAGGAATATCAAAGATGACAGTAAGTCTATAGATTAAATAATAAGTATAGTACAATTCCTACATAACAGCTTCATTTTCACTTTGGTCTCTGTGGAAACCTCTGCAGTCCTCATTACTGCTGAACAAGGAGAGTGGGAAATCAGGGTATAATCCAGACCATTGATCATAGCTGAACATGGCATCTGGCTTCCTCCCTTCTCCAAAGGGTTTGCAAACTGTTGGGCCTTGTGCTCTGTTTGTCTAGTGCATCTTTGCTGTGTTTGGCTCCCTTGGATGTAAGAACATGAGAATGAGAGCACTGAGTTGGAAAAAATGTCCAAAATACCCAAGAGCAGCCAGCCATGGGTGCTTAAAATGGCAAAACTCATACAGCTATTTTCCTAGTACATTCTGCCAGACCCCAGTGATCTGTGGCCTTCCTGAGATACGATACCTTTGTGTTTGGTATTACTTAACAGTTCTCACATTCATCCAACCACTCTCTGATGCCCCCTGCATGGCTAGTGCCTTAGGTAGCAGATGTGTATTAATGGCCTGTCATGCTTGAGAAACAGACACCCTGGAAATACCATAATCATAGATAACTATAAACTTAGATGCTGGTTATAGCAGGGCATGGGGGATGATGAGGTGATAACAGAAGTCTGTGGAGCTTCATTTGACATGGAGCACCAAAGACACATAAATATGTGCCTGTCACTGCTCCTCGGTCAGCAACTGGAAAACATATTCCAGGAGAAGAGGGAAAATATTTAGACAAATGGCAAGGCTGCCAGAAAGCTAGAAATTAGCTAATGATGATGCATCTAAGGTCAAAACCTGAGAGGAGCTGAAACCAATGAACACGAGATTATGCTGAAAGGAGAATGGCAGAAGGAAAGAGCCAGATTAGCAAAGCCAAATGTTCTGGGGCTGGCAGGGAAGAAATCATGATTAAAGATGATGGCAAGGCCATAAGCGAGGAAGACAAATGCCATGTCTCCGCGTGACTCTAGAATGAAGCCTGATTTCCCATGAGGGCTGCAGATAAGCAGGCTGGAAGCCAGCAGCCTCTCCGAAAGCCCAGGAAGGGGGAGATGGATAGCAGAGACGGGGTGCTGCTCTGCTGTGCTGGGGCATGATTCAGGGTGAAGGGGACATGGAGAGGATCCAGTTATTAAATGCGCTTTGGGGATTTAACTTAAGTTAAATAAGGGGGATAAATAATGGAGGGGATAAATGCTTGCAGCCATACAAGTGGTGCATTTTTTCCACTGCATGTTAGCTGTAAAACCCACAGTAGACTTAAACAGAGCTGGCCAGGGTGCTTTCCAATGTGGTTACCTGGTTGGGGTCAGGTTCAACATCATCCCAGTTGTGTGTCAAGTGGCCCCCTTCAAGAGGCTGGAAGGGTTTGTGGCAGACGGATGGGAGGATCCGATATAGCCAGCTAGAAAGAAGGAGAAGGCTTGGATTAGGCTGGAGAACAGGTTAAATTATCTGGATGACTGCTGGATGATTTAACTCTTCAAGACATTAATGAAATTCACGTTTGCAGTAACTGAACCAAAAGGTAGGTTAAATATTGAACCTATCAACCTATTTCATAGCTAGAGACTTACAGAGAGATAAGGATTTTTTTCTGGGCTCTGAGTATACATAGGAAAACCAGCTGTTACGTAGAGGTAGATGTCTACAGTTACACAGATGCATAAATATACATACACATATATGTGTATATATCTCTATATATAATATGTAAAAAGTTTTGCTTGTGTCTGAAACAAACTCTCTCTGGAGTGGAGGACAAGGGCTATTTAATCAGAGCTACAGAGCGTTCAGAGAAGGCAGCGAGGAGCACAGTGTCTAAATGAGAGCTCAGAGGAGCTTTCAGAAGGCAGCAGATCACAGCCAGCATTTGCATTTGGATGGGTTACCGAAAGCAGAATCCAAAGCTTGGCTGATTGCGCCCATAGGATGGGCAGTGAGCCCAGGCAGCGAAGACCAACTTCCCAATACCATGCAGCCCCTCTGTGTCTCCATCACCCCTTGGGATCCTTTCTGGAGGCCTCTGCCCAAGTATGGGCCTAGCTCAGGCTGCGAGATCTGCCAATCCCTGTTCTGGTATGATTTAGCTGATGGGTTTCCTGAGTGGTCTCTTGATGCCCTTGGGCCACTTTCCCTTGAGGCCTAGTATGGCCAGAGCCTCTGTGGTCTCCTGGCCCTGTCAGTTCATGTCACCAGCCATCCCAGAGCCATTTCCTGTCCCGCGCCAAGGGTGAAGGGGAAGGGAATGGCCCAGGCTATTCTGCCACCCTTTTAAAGAGAGAGAGAGAGAGAAATGCAGCAATGCCTTGGGTCAGCATGTGTGGATTTCTGCCCTCTCCCTCTCCTGCTCCCCTCTCCACACACAGCGCCACAGCCATTGCACCCGCTTCGTGCATGCCCACAGCTGGAAAGGAAGGGATTTCACCAGGCAGGAGAGTAGAAGTAAACACGAAAGCCTGGGCTAGGCAGGGCTGCCAAAGCCTCTGCTGTGTTAACAGTGATGGTTACAGTTTGGCTGGGTGGGTGGGAGAGGAGAGAAAGTAGCTCTCCCCGGAGAGCTGGAAAATTTCCATCAAGGACACCTTCGTGCAGCAAAGAATGATTCATCCACTTTCCCACACACGGTGAGGGCTGGCATCAGCCCGGCAAGTGGAGCACCGCTCAGCAGCTCAGATGATGCATTTGCCTTTCACTTGAAGGAACAACAGAAGGGACAGAAAAGCCTCTGTGCGAGAGGCAAAATGAAAAACCCATCTTCTGCGGGCAGGCACTGGCCAGAGCAAGATGACCGGGATGGTGCAGTGCAGGGCATCTGCTCTGGGGCAGAACAAGCTGCCCCAGCATGTGCCAGGCTGGCAGCGCGCTGGCCTGAGCTGCTGGCTACTGCCATGCGAGTGCAGTATGAGTTAGCCCGTGCCAGCCGTGGACAAGGACAGGGGCTGCTCCAGCGGAGAGGGAGGAGTGACGGATGCTTCAAGCGAATTTCTGGTACTGCTAGTCAGGTGCTCCAGTGGACAAGTGTTTTGCATGTGTCCTCTCAGAGACCCCGCGTGACCAGGGCTGCAGAAAAGGCTGGCCGCACAGAGCCAGCCTGCCCACAGCTCCCTGCTTCTTGCTCCCTCCACACACACGTATCACCTGGTCACTGGCGGGGTCAGTGTTACGGTACCTTCTCTTATTCGTGGACCGGGGACAGGTGAAAGCAGAGCCTGAGAGCTGTTCTGCATACAGGCCATACGGGCAGATTTGCGGGTTATTCTGAATAGGAAAGAAAAACAATGAGTGAGACCGAGCAGCACAGGTTTCGCCTCTCAAGTTCCCAGCAGGGAACTGTGCTGGGCACCTGGCAGCCCAATGCCACGAGGTGGAGGGATCCCTGTGAGCGCACGGCCTGCTCTGCAGTCCCGGCAGTGGCATTTTCCTTCTTTCATGAGCAGCCAGCAGGTATCAGCCAGACCCTGAAACCTGTTCTCACACACAACAGCTTCAAGAGGTACCCTAAGGAATTATCAGAGCCGAGAGCAGATGCACCAGCTGCTGGAGCAAACCATAAAGGGCAGTGGCTGGGAGCGTCTGCAAAAGGAGCTTGTGGGCAGAGGGAATTAACAACCTAGCTTACAGAATACAAAGCAGGTTGTTAAACACACCTTTTAGAGACCAGATATCCAGAGGGGCAGCTCCAGTTTGGGGAAAAATCATTTTCCTTCAGCTTTTGCAGAGCGCTGATAAGAACTCCCATCTCCTAGAAGCTGCATGTTTGCTCTCTCTCTCTAACATGATGAGCCCCCTGTTCCTACCCCACTCTCTGCCTCAAGTAGGGGTGCCCAGAGCAGATGTTTCTGAGGTGTAACGCTGCCTTGTTCCTGGTTACCCACCAGTGGGAGTGATTTGTATGGGAGCCTTTACATTTCTGTAGTGCTCCTGGGCCATTAAGCTCTCCCTCTGGAGCTCAAAGGATGCACTTTCCCCTTTGTAGAGGCATGAGAATGGACTAGCACAGGTTTAACAGATCCTCTGAGTTTATAACTTCTGAGAGAAGAGCAGCTAAACATCTTGATATCAGTAGGCCAGTATGTATTTGAGATCAGCAAGAAGCACCCGCGTACTGGGGGAGATGTTCTGGTGGGACAGCCATGTGGCACCGGCTCTCGCATCTACCCCATGCAGCTGAGCATCCTGCCATCCTGCTGCAGTCATCCATGCAGTATCACACACTGGCCTGGCAGGTGAATATAAGGAAAGAGTAAAGCCCTCATAATGTGTATAGCTTTCCAGCCTGCCAACTTTATCTTGTCAGTGTGGGTACGCAGTGAAGCAGGGGGATCAATAGCCCTTGTCATTTTTATCTGAGCCAGCATTACTGCAGATGCCAGGCTTATAAATACTGCAGAGGGGAAAGGATCCACCCTCGGGACTGGAGATTTTTTTCTCTAACTCGTCCTCAAATTTTCTATTAACTCATTTGACACTGAGTCCAAACTTCATCCAAATGAGGGTACCCCCATCAGGAACTGGAGGACTCCATTTAATTTCCATACACTGGTATGAATTTTGGATGTCCTCACCCTATAGAGAGGGTTGTTACCATGGGAAAATACAGATAGCAGCTTGCAAAGAGCAACTTTGACCAGTGGCTGGAGCACTGCCTGTTCAGATTGGCAGTCACTCCGATCCATCTCCCAGTTACAAGGTGCCTCTTTCACACGTCTTTCTCTACCCATTCTCAGAAACGAGACACTGCACTAGTATCAGATCCAACAGAACGATTTCTCTTTCTACTGGCTATACCATAGACTGTAATGCAGACCTAGAGACCAATTTACACAGTTAACTCATCTGGGTCTTACACGTTACTCTCTGTACTGGCATCTTTCATGTAAAATGTCAGAAACGAGGAGATAAAAAACTTGGGAAATGCTGTGGGTGAAGTTCCCTAGTTAACCCTAGTTCTGTATGCTCCTTTGCACAGATGATGAAGCACAGACTTGCAGCAGGGAAAATCATTAAGTGAGCATAAAATGCTGCCATCCAAATCTAAGTGATTACATGAGATTCAAGGGAGGGCACAATCAGCCTCAGAGAATTTATGCTGTTATAAAGCAGACCAACAGAAAAGGAATGATAGTTTCAATTCTTCAGTGCTTTGTTCTCATATCTGTGGACTGAGTGGGTAGCACCAAAGAGGTGGTGATTCCTTTCTTTAAAGCTAAACAAACCAGAACAATTTATGGTAATTGTAATTATTTTATTTTAACAATAAAGCCATCGGTTTATTGCTGCATACATTTCTGTCTCATCCTCCTAGAGAAGTTGCTGTCTCAGGTGTGTCAAAATCGATTCCTATAGAAATCCTGAAAGCCAAGTCCTGTGTGAGCACCAGCTCTCTGCCAAGCTTCACGCTTCTACCCCAATCTATTCCAGTGCTAGAGCCAGTTGTTCATTCCCAACAAGCCTGGGCCATTTTTATCCCAAACTCCTTTCTGAGAAAATGCTGCTGAGCAAAAGTAAGTTACGAGAGCTTCCAACCCCCAGGAGGAAACTCGGAAGTTCTCAAAGAACCTGAGAATAGATAGTCCTGATGGAAATCTTTAATTCTGGCTTTTGCCAGCATCTTAATATTCTACTCCCACATAGAGAAGACTCCTGATCATTTTTGCAGTGGCCGAGAAAAGAATAGAAATGTTTTCAGACAAAAAGTAACACAGGAACCGATATATTCACTCTACTTCATGACATTTAAAATAACACATTAAAGAGCTTGGTACCTGTCCCTCTGGTAAAGCTCCAGGGCAGCGCGGGTCCTCAGAAACATGTTCATTTCCAAATCCTGACAGGTACTGCAAAATAAACCCCACAAACACACCAGTGATTTAAAACATGAGCAAACAAGCCAGCCCTTCCCCAAGGTTTTTTCTAAAGCCTTTGCATGCAATAAGGCTTGTTCAGGTGATCTGCTTGTTTATCTCCATGAACCATTGTCACAGCTCCTCAGTGTGAGACTGCCTTCATTAGCCAGCCATGTCCTTGACTGGGAAAAACAGACAAGATTTCCTATTCTACTAAATCTGCAGGTACATAGTGACCACATTTTGCACCAGTTTGGAAATATACCAAATAACACATATATAATGTGGCTCAGGAACGACAGGGTGATGTATAGGAGAAGGAAGAATACACCAATACTATGGAGGCATGCTAGCCACTGTCAAAGTTGAAACTGCTACTAATTTAAAAGTGGATTTCTTTAATGCTCTAAAGCCTACAGACTGTCTTGCAGGTGAGTCATGGCTCTCAGATACTTAGGGATTGAAACTGGGAGCCATTTGGTTGTAGGATTCTTGTGATATATCCCCGCAACCACCAAGAAAAAGATCAAAACTTAGTTGGGATAAGGGGGGAAAGGAAACTCTGCTAGGACTTAAAACTGTGTCACTGATCTGCCCTAAATTAATGCCACCTAGTTGGCCTTGAACTCTGCCACCATGGTGGCAAGCAAGCACTAAACCACTGCCAGGTTGTAATTCAGTTCTCCGAGGCAATGACCACACAAAAGACACATCTGTGCAAGGAACAGATCTGTGTGCTCTCCTAGGCCTTCTCTGCCTGTATCTGCTGTGAGAGAGGAGGTCTAAAACCTGCAAGAACCCCAGAGACTGCAGCCTCCATCTCCGCATTGCTGAGAAAAGCCCCACAGGAAACCTGAGCCACAGAGGGAAGAAGGTGTAAGACAGAGCTCAACTTTGCATTGGCAGAAAGGTAAATATAGTCCCTTTGCATCCTATAGAAAGCCACAAAGCAGCTCCGTTGAATTCTGCGTGACCGTAAAGGGGCTTTGGCAGTGATCCATGGGTTCCGCTTCAAGGCCTGCAGAGAGAGTTAAATATTAATGCTCCCCTCTATCAATTGCAAGGGTGTCTGGGCTGCTCATGCATGGAGACTGGCTGAAGCCCTGCTTGGCCTAAACCTGAAAACACCTTGGTTTCAGTAGTTTAAAAGAGGATACTTCTCTGCTCCTTCTTACAAATGAGCAAACACTGCTTGGACTGTGCTCTCTACAGGGTGCTGCAAGCAGCATATTGATATGCAAAGCAGCAGGTCACCTAAGCAGCCTTGGCAAGTGTATTGTACCAGAGCATTTGTTTTCTTTCTTTCCTTTTTTTCTTTTTTCTTCCCTTTTAAACGGAAATGCAGTAATATCTGATGGGACTGCAGCAGTTCCAGAATTAACCAGCCCTCCTCGCCGCAATCATGTTTACCAACACCATAAAGGTGGTGGCAGCAGTAGCTCGCTCAACAGCCTGGGTGAACAGGCAGGGAGAGGGAGGGGGGAGGAAGAGGAGGGAGCTCATTCTGATTTTCTCAAGGCCCAGCTGGCCCAGACTGTCAGGCTCTGCCATTGGCACAACAGGGAGAAGGTTAATGCAATGAGCCCGCTGCTTGGCCGAGTATCACGTCTGCCTGCAAAATGCCCTGAATTAAAGCTGGCAGCGAGGGGGAAGGGGACGGTGTGCGCTTCTTTGGCAACGCAGCTACTTTGCGTCGCTGCTCCCAAGGTTATGCTCACCTGCACAGCCAACCTGCCCCAGCCGCTGCGCCTGCATCAGCCAACCTGCCTCACTGCTGCGCGCACCAGTGAGGGAAAGGAAAGGAAACCAGCAGCACGCAGTTGGTGCTGGAAGCTCCTCCACGTGGCACACGCGGCCCCAGAGCAGGTGGCTCCGGGCGCATGGGCTGGCAGAGGGGCTCCTCGTGGGTTGCAGGGCCAGCAGAAGGAGACAGCCGCAGGCTGGAGCCAGCGCTTGGGAGAGGGCCGCATCTCGTGCTGCTGCAGCAGCCGCCCTCCCTGCGGGCAAGCAGCAGGGCTGCTGCATCGCTCAGTGCTCACTTCTGTTATGCCGGCTAAGAAAAACAATCTCCACAGGTACCTGCATTGAGAGCTGAAAGGAAAAGAGACACTTCCCTCTCTCTGGCAGGGCTGCAGCTGAGGAAGGGGGGGCATTGCCCTGTCAGTGCGTTATTGCACCGAGCTGGGTGTGCTTGACTGATTGTTTGGTGTAGGTTTTCTCATTCCCTTGCTTTATCTTGTCTTTCTCTATGGCACACCTCAGAAAGGCTTCTCTCTTCTCCAGTCCCTTGGAGGTCAGTTTAAAAGACTGCTTGATGTGCAAAATAAATCCCACGCCAGCACTCCTGCATAAACACAGAGCTGCTGAGCTGAAGCCTGATTTGAATGTCCATGTTATGGTTGGGGGGGGGATTGTGTTTGGTTTTTGTTTTCCAAAAATCGGTGTTGTCAAGCGATAAAAACGTGAAAGGGCTGAGATGCTCCAGCGCACAGGAGAGCCGGTGCTGTAGCGCTGAACGCAGCTCGTGCAGAGCATGGCTAGAACCATGAGTGTTGTGTGACGGCTACAGGGTCTTTTCCAGAAAAGCTAGTGGGTTCTCCTGGTGCTAAGGAATGGGTTCCCCTCATGTGCTGCCTCCACAGAGCCAACACTGCTGCCAGGCCAGCCACCCTCTTCCCACACCAGCGTGGGGCTCATTCATGTCATCTGTGTCAGCAACGCTTCGTTCTCTGTGACGTCCTCCCAGCCCCGTGTGTGACCCCGGCCGCCGGGCACCAGCCTGGAGCTGTGGCACGAGGCCCAAGCGCCCCAGGTGCCTTGGGAGCGCGCAGCCCAGCTCTCCGCTCACGTGGGCATGACAGGCGGTCACGGGAGGCTGCCTCGCTCGGCTCTGCTGGGGCTGCAGTGCCTTTCCAAAAGATGCTGGAAAGCTGAACATCAGAACTTCTTTTCTGCAACACGAAATGGAAATTTTAGTCCAGTGACCTGCCTTTAGGTCCCTGTTTTGTCTCCAGGACTCCTAGCAATATTGTGAGTGGCTCCAGGTCAGGTGGGTTGACGAGGGACTATTTTGGGGAACTGAGCAGATGCTCTCTCAGTAAAAACAAAAGTTCTCCATGGTCCTTTGTTTTCCAGTCTGCTCTTTTAATTACTTTTTCTAATATTTTGTTCATGATTCTGTAGATTTTTATGTAAATGGGTTCTGAAGATTCATCTGATTGTCCTTTGCATTTGTTTTGTCATTCTTCAATGAAAAGGGAGAGTGAAAAGCCCAACACAGCGTAAAAAGCTGAGAAAAGCTCATACGCTGGAATAGTTGGGATGCAGAGCAGAGTGCTCTCAATGCGGATCATGTCCTGGCCTGCAAACCATAACCTTTTGCTCACCAGATTAGAAAGCAAGTAGAGGAAAAAGGCATTTGAAGTCTGAACACATAGACTGCAATATAATTAAGGTCTGTCTTCAAACACTGCATAATATGTTTCTCTATCAGCTACCGCTGCAGGTTACAGAAAAACAACAGCCATTCATATCCAAAAGCACGGCACTTTGTGTCAGCTCAGACTGGTCAACACTGAAGCTTCTAAGGCAACCTGCAAAATTAAGAAAACAAAGACACAAGGCGACAGACAAGGCAGGCCTGTGTGGGGCTCAAGCCACATGGGAGCATGGAAAAAACAGCTTTGATGACAGGTACTGTACCCTAATCTTAACTCTGCACCACGGGGTTGCAAGACTCCAGATTAGGACGCCCTGTGGACACCTCCATGTCCCTCTCCACTGTCAAAATGGCCAAAAAGGTGCACGAGTTTCTAGGAAGGAAATGGGGACCAAGCCAGAAAATGCTTTCATGGCCATGACAGAAAGCCCCAGGCTACTCATCTGGAGAGCAACGAGACTTGGCTGTTTCCCTGCTGAAGGAGGATAGTGAAAGCCGAGGGAGGTTCACAGATGGAGAGGAAGAAGCACAGGAAATTTTATTACATGAGGAAGTATTGAAAAGACGTGACTCTTCAGAGATGAGTAGGAAGACGTATAAGAATGCTGTATAAAATAACAAATGTTTCTGAAGAAGCGAAAGTAAACTGTCGTTTAGTCACACAAGGAAAAGAGATATTCAGTGAGAGAAAAAGGCAGCAATTTTGAAATTAATACAGGCACCTGCACCAGGAAACAGTGGAAGCCAATGCTAAATGACAATTCTGGGCTGCAAAGGATGGGAAGTACATGTGTGCGTGTATGTATAGACATACGTGAGTGTGTGTGTGTGCATACGTCTATACATACAACCACGCACATTTAAATATATATATATATACACATGCATATATATCAGAAATATCCAGAACTTTACAAGGGCTTAAAATCAGTGCCAGCTCCAAAGCCTGGGAAGGAACATGAGCAGAACTGTGTCAGCTCCTGGCACTGCAGCAGTCATGGGAGCAGATGGTCCCGCTCCTGCCTGCTGTAACAGCATTCAGGTGTCCCAATGACACAGCAGAAACTGACCCCTGCTACTAGGGCAGCAAGGTGCTCAGGGCAACTTCATGCTCCTGTGAATAAATAATAAAACGATAACCTCCTGCTCTCATTCCAAAACTCCTCCACACATGACTCCCACAAAACGCAGAGTGGAAAGGTGTGACTTGCCTTAGGGAAATGGTGCTAGAGCCAGATGTGGAGCCTGGGTGTCCTGACTTTCCATGTGCTGCTGTATTCCCTGGCATTTCCAGGAACATCAGGAATTCCCACAGCAAAGCAAATGCTTGTGCCCGGGACTGCTGGTGAGGTTCCCACTGAGGTTGCAACATCCGGGCAGATGTTACAAGCCAACTTTCATAGGCTGAGCCGGAAACACCCCCCTGGCACCCAGTGCAGAAGGAAGGGGGTGTGTGGAGGGAGGGGAGAAGAACAAACAAAAAAGCTAAAAAGCTCTTGGACTTGGACAGCCTGATCAAGAATCACAGCATCACAAAGCAGTTGAGGTTGGAAGGGACCTCTAGAGATCATCTAGTCCAACCCTGCTGCTCAAGCAGAGACACATGGCACAGGGTCATTTCGAAAGGATGAAGAGAGAGATTTAAAACCTATTCAGCAAAAGCCTTTATCCCAAGAGAGCGTTAAACACACCTCAAAACACAGAAGAGAGGCACATTAAAACTTAATGAAATAGTCCTGCTATATTTGACCAAAAAAATTATACCAGCCCAACCCTGAACCCCACACCTCACTTCATGCCTGGCATTTTTTTGCTAGCTCATTCTCACCAATCTCCCTCCATGGAGACCGCTTTCACCCCATGTACTCAAGAGTCTCATTGCAGGCAAAGTCCAGCCATCCTCTAAAGAGCTCAGTGGAAAAGTAACTGTCTTCCAGTAATGAAGGCCCAGAGGGGTTAAGAAAGGGCATGTTGCACCTTCCGTCCCATGCCCGGCATTCCCAGCTCGCAGTGACCTTGTCCCCTACCTTCAACCCAGGCATCTTCTCTCAGTTCTTTTGTCACTCCGAGCAGACGGAGACCCCAGGCAGGTCTGGCCGACGCGATCCCTCGTTGCCTCTTCAGGCAAATGCTTCTAGCTGATACCTTCGGGGCTGCATGAACCAAGCTGGACTGACTGCGAGCGGACTGTGCCGTAAGTGAGAAAGTCCAAAGGAGGTTTCAAATTGTTTACTCAGCCCAGTGTGTGTTTAACCAAATACAGGCCTTTCTCCATTGAACCCACCCAGGGACTGATTTAAAGATAATAAATGGGGGATGGGGAGGGAGAAAACTCCCTCACTGCTCCTTTTTATCCATTAGCTGTTAAAAAATAAAGTCTAATTCCTACATCTAGGGAAAATAAAAAAATGTACTTAACACTTAAGAGCAAAGAAAAGCCATTTTTGCAACTGTTTTATAAGACTCTTTGGAAAATGGTATCTCTAGCAATTTTCATATATTGCACTCTAAATGAGTAACACGTATTTGTTCATTATGCCTCTGTGCCATGCTTCAGGTACCTTATGTACATAAGGAGTAGAAAAGATCACATCCCAGTTCTGGTGAAGATAGTGATATTCTTGAAATCCTGCATAGCAACATTACACAGTGGCTTGGGGCCGAATGTCAAGGAGGATTCTCCATCCCAAACATTAGAGTGAGTGAAGAGGGCTGGAATTTTCTTCTGAAAGAACACGGTTGCTGACTAAGGACAGGAGCAGAAGCAAGCAAGTGGTTACAGAATTCTAATGAAGACAACTATATTTCCACAAGCTGTAGGAAAAAAAAAATGATTCGTGCTAATTTAGTTTGGATTCCCCTCCTCGAAAAACAAACAAACAAACAGAACAACCCCAATAGTTTCTCCTTTCTTTGGCCTGCTTTTCTATAAGTATTTCCAGGAACAAATCTGGGAGGCACATGCTGAAACCTGGGGGGTTGTCACTGGTGCTGGCAATAAGCCCTGCTAGAAATCCAGTGTGCCATATTCTACTGTATGTCACAGAATATTGGAAACTACAGCACATGTTGTACCAGAGTGAAAGATTTGAAACACCTGGGAATTTTACTTGGGTAAAGCACCAGTGTACTGGATGCACACGAGAGCTGACTGAGAGACAGGGATCCTTTCTGGTGGGGTCAGGGACCTGCTGCTGCAAAGGACCATTGCTTTTCACAGTGATGTATCTTTTTTCTAAAAGGACAAATCTCACCTCCTGCTTATCCCTATCCAGCTAAAAAACAGTCATTAAGGTATGTATTTATTAATATATTCCTTCCCACCTGTCTCTGTGATCTCATCCTCCTCAACTCTCATCCATTCTCTGTTAACCCACTCTGCACCGCCAAATCCACCAGGAGCTCTCTAGAACAGCTCCACTGCTCATCTGCCAGCATATCACCTAGTGCCTGTTTATCTGAACCCCCTTTTGTAGCCTTTTATCATTATATGACACAATAAAACAATATTTTGCTACCCAAGAGCTTTGCAGTAAAACCAGGATTTTTAAATAACCTGTACAGTTTTGTAGAATGGCTATTATGAAATATGTCCTTGTCATTTTTCTGGGGCCATTCAGCAGCAGATGTCAGACAGGTTAATTATTATCATTTATTTGTGCAGGAAAGGTCATTAGAGTTGTCTGCACTAGAGAGCACACATGCCTTTTAGGCAAAAAGCAGATGCTGCATGGATAGAGGCTGCAGAAGCCACCTGCTCACTGCACCTTGCTGTGATTCTGCTGCCTTCAGGCTGGAAAAAACACTTCTATCAGTCAGTAAAAAGAATTAGTCTCTTCAGCCTGCTCTGCCCTTCCCTCTCTGATGCAACTGGCAAGGAGGGAGCTAATTTTGGACAGACATTAAAGTTTGTGATCTGACCTTTTTGTTTAGTCGGGGTAGGACGGCCCACCAAGCCCACGCCAGCCACTGCAGAACAAGCCAGAGGAAATGAGGAGAGTGTCAGACAGCAAGATAAAAATCCTGAGCTTAGTCCTAACCTCCAAAGCTACCAGACCTTCTTGTTCTTTAATAAATCTTTAACCCAACGCCAGCAGTGCCTTTCCACTTCGTAAATGTTAAATTTCAGGTCAATGGGAGCAGCGATATGCATAGGTTATTCACATACTTCATAGGTTATTCACATTTTACTTCATGCCTCTCCTCTTATTCAAAAGAAGCAACTGTGAGCTTTCAGTGGCACTGACTCTGGTTTAGTTGATCTACTCAAGAAAGAGCTTGTAGTAGACATCTTTCTGAAGGAAGTCTGTGGCGATGTAGTGAGTAGGAATTTGTCCATACAGTTTTAGTAGGTAAGGAACTAGATTTTCTGTGCTAAGCCCAAGGGGCACAACAAGCTTTATCTCACTGATGTAAAGCTGAAGTAGGAAGAAGAAAGCACATATGTTTGCAGCAGAAATAGGCTAAGAAGCCAGGCTGCCGAAATTAGATTTTACGGTCTCTTTGGAGAGCATAGAGACCTCTGATCATCTAAGCCAACCTCTTCTGTAAACACCCAGGAGGACTTCTCAAGGCTGTGTTAGAGCACATCCTCCAAAAGTACCTGAAAAACTCTGAATAGTGATAAAGCTTTTGCTTTCTTCCCTAAACTTTCCACTGTCATCACCTTCATTGTTAGGAAACTACATCTTATTTCAATATCTTATTTCAGTATTAATATATTAGGAAAAACATCTTTGTAGCTGATTAGGCACTTGAAATTAAAGAGGATTGGCACCGTTTTTGTTCTCCTTCCTCTCTTCCACCTTACATCTATCCAGTATTTTTTTTCCAGAGACACCATGCTCATGTGAAGCCCTAACACACAGAGCTGTAGCCCAGCAGACCCTCAGAAAAGCTTCACCTCTGAACACCTGCTGATAACTTGGCAGCTAGTGGCAGGTTCATCAATAACGCTAATGGCTTTATGTCAAAGAGAACTAGTGCACTAAGCCACAGCTATGTGCAGCCCTGTAAAGGAATCGAGGTAAGCAGCATCCAAATAAGAAAAGCCTGGCAGGAACAGGCCTTCTAATGGGAAGAGCTGGGTAAGAAAAGAAGAGGAAAGGGAAGGATAAAGCTCCTTTTGCTGAAAAATAAATGCAGCTTTTCCTACAATAAAGTCTATCACCTCCTTACCAACTGAGAAATGATGATTCAAGCACTGACTTCACTGTATCTACCTGAATAATCTATTGACTGCTGATTAAGAAACAGCAGTTTATATCTCATTTGTGATAAATGCAGCATACTGAAACTGCCTTTGCAAATATTATCACTGAACCCTTGCATTAGAGTTGCTCTAAGGGATGGGTTTTACACCCCGAAAGCCACTAGGCCCTTTGCACAAGACTGCTGCAAGAAAGTTGTTACTAAAACAAAAATGTATCCTCAAGAACTTCAGTACTCACTGGCTGCATATTTTTCTGTTGGGGGCATTTTGGGGCAGGGACCCATATTACAGGCCCCTTATCATTCTTCTGACTGTGCCCACAGCCATCAAAGTGGTCATAAATCCAGAACAGTGACACGAGGCCTTCTGAGAGAGGGCAGGATTGCTGTTCATGTGCTGTGCATTTGCCCTGTGTGGGCAAGGGAAACCGAGCACATCTTGGAGGTTTGTGCCTGAACCACCTCCACTGACAGCTCCGGCTGTGAGGACATGAAGTATGCAGCAGCTGGGTGCATATTCTAGCTGAGGAAATAGAGGGGAGGTCCAGCTTAATGGAAATGAGTGAAAAGGTTTTTTTTTTTTTTGGGGGGGGCGGGGTGAGGCAGAGAAGGAAGGAGAGGAAGAATGAGGGAGATAAGAGGGAGGGAGGAAGAGACAGAGGGAGACACAAAGAGAAATGAGGAAAGAGAAACAGAGTAGAGAGAGACAGAGAGAAGAACAGAGAGAAAGAGAGAAAAATAGATAAAACGGAAACAGTGAGAGAGAAATAAATGGCAAGAAACAGTGAGAGACAGAAACAGCCAGAGAAAGTGAGAGGAAGACAGAGATGAACAGAGAGAAAAAGAGGAGAGAAAAGGCAGCCCAGAAGGAGGAGGGGGATATGTAAAGAGTGGGGACACCCACGGTCATAGGAAGAGACACAAGGAGGAGGGACAGGAAAGGGGACAGTAACTGGGGACAAAGGGAGACAGGAATGCACTGACACTGGGCACACAGAGACATCCCAAAGGATGTGAGAAAAAGGATGGGAGACAAAAAGGGAGGGGAGAAGAGAAAAGAGAGCTGGAACATGTAGTGAAGTGTGACACAGAGACAGCAGCTGGTAGCCCAGCCCCAACCTGCAGCTCAAGCATGTTCCTGGCAGCTGAATTAGAGAGCAATTAAACGGCCTCTGGATGCTCCTATTTAAAATAAAAATAATAATGAAGAAAAGGAATGGGGGAAAACCTAGCACTTCCTTTAAAAATAAATACAATGTCACCAGAATGCAGGACTCAACTATTAATTTCTTATTCTAAGAAGAAACATCATACATAATTGTGGGAACTTGCTGAGATCTAAACAAAGAAAGTCCTTTATCTGCATTGGAGACCTGCTTATACTAAAATATCTAAGATGCTGGACTCCTAACACTACTGTATTAACACAGGTATGAGAAAAGCACTTCAAAAGACACACAATTATATGGGAAATAGACAAATACAGCTTTATTAGTGCCAATATAAAATAGTTGCTTAAAGGTTTTGAAATAGGTGTAAGGCAGAAACATGGAAGGACGAGGCAGTGAGTATGGGGCAAATGTTGGGGCCGGGCCTCTTTAACATATTTATTGATGATGTGGATGAGGGGATTGAGGGCACCCTCAGCAAATTTGCAGATGATAAGCTGAGAGGAAGAGTTGATCTGCCTGGGGGTAGGAAGGCTCTATAGAGGGATCTGGACAGGCTGGACCAATGGGCTGAGGACAACTGTTTAACAAGGCCAAGTGGTGGGTCCTGCACTTGCGTCGCAACAACCCCCTGCAGTGCTGCAGGCCTGGGGCAGAGGGGCTGGAGAGCTGCATGGCAGGGAGGGATCTGGGGATGCTGGTG